CCCTCTCTTCCTTTTCCACCCGTAGAGAGCCGGGTGGCAGCTTGAGCGGCGACGGCACCGGGCGGAGCGGTGGCGGGGCGGCGACGGCGCCGGTCGAAGCGGTGGAGGGGCGGCCAGATCCGGCGGCCGCTCACCCCACCGCGCCGCCGCTCCTTCTTCCCCAGCTTCCCTCTTCTTCCAGCTCCGGTCGACGCCCCTTATCTCCTCCTTTGACGGGCGCCCCTCCTGGCCAACGCGCGGACAAGCTCCGCGGCGACCACCACTCCTCTCCTCCTCCTCGCTACGGCGGCTGTCGAGCGGAGTAGCGGCGGCGCCCTCTCCTCCACCCCCAACGACGGTGGCAGCGGTGTGGCCCAAGCGACGGCGCGGATCGACCTCGAGCTCCCCTCTCCCCCTCCCCTCTTCTTCACCCCTTCCGATCCTTATCCGCAGTGGCTGCGTCGTCATCGTCGGTGCCGGCCCAGTCTTCCTCCGAGGTGGCTGCATTGCCATCGCCGGCGCCGGTCCAGTCCTCTTTCTCTCTTTCCGACGAGCTCGGTGGTGTGGATGCCTCTCCTCCTTTGGTCCTCTCTCTCTTCCCGGAGGGCACGGGACACAAAATGGTGTGGGCCCAGAGTTGGTGCCCTGTACATCGTGGGCTCCTCCTGGCCATGCAACAACCATGCAGGAAATAAAGCCGATCTAATCATCGCCGGAAAGGAGCTCGATCGAATCACTCGCCGTTCCCAACCGCCGGAGCAGCCCCGGTTGCAGGGGAAAAGAGGCGAGTCGCGCATCCATTGATGCGCGTGATTTTCCGGCGTTAACCTCGCGGAGCGGTGGTCGGCGTTACGTTATCATTGCGGGGTGTGGTCACTGCCACAGTTTTCGCGATGATTGCCGCGTGATTCCACGGTTTCCACCGTGTTTTGCGGCATCTGCTACTACTACTCCAGTTTACTCCTACTACTTTGGCTCGTGCGTTCGCTTCGCGCGGCCGGGAACCGGGAGCGGAGGTCGCCAACAATCACGCGCTGGGGACTCGTGCGTGCGCGCGGCCACGTACACGCAGATGCAGCCACGTACAAGACGACGCCGCTCCGCCGCTGATGTCTCGGTCTTCGTCGGCCTCCGCCTTCCGGACCGCATTGAACGCCGCACATGGGCGTGGTGGTACTGTGTGGTGCGCGCGTGTCGTCCGATCGGTTTTAGGTTGGTTGGTGCGCACGTTTGGTACAGTTAGCGATGCTCCCAGCCTCCCAGTACCAGTAGTATTCACGGAAACATTTTTCGCCCAAGTCTGCGTGTTTCAAACGCAATCTACTGCCATCGTCCTACAGTGTCCTGAGTGAACTTGAACCAGCAGCGCTGCCGTGTGCCGTATATGTTGCACGTGTATCTCGAGTTGTCAACCTTGGGTTGCTGTTGGTTGAGAAATGAGGCTTACGGTGGATACCGTGGATTGTCATGACAAATTGGTTGATAGCATCCGGTTTCCATGGCAAAAGCAAAAACAGGCCATACCACGGTGGCACGGTGAGCGGCGAAGGGCCAAGGGCGGCAGAAAGCATGACGGTGCCATATAGGGCCATAGTTGCAGTTGGCCTTGCGCGTTGGGGGCTTGGGAGGACATATCGGGATGAATTTTGGGCCGCCCGGTGGGCGGTGGATGCGGCCTGTGGACAACTGACGCGCAAAGTGCACGGTTTTCTATTCCAGCATGGGCTGGAATTCCGTTTTCCGTTTATCTATAGACCTAACGAGTTCGGTCTGTTTTGAAGCCACAACTGGCCTGATTGAAAATGGCTCGATACCATAGCATTGAAAAAGTCCATTTTTATACATTCCTCAATGATGGATTGAGTTCCATTCGTATCTCTTAGTCGTAAAATCAATTATAGAGCGTCCCCGGCCCCAACTATCAAATCCAGTGCAAATTAAGATTCTCAGCGGTTTCATTCTACGTCTCATAACAATCAGCATATTGACATGGTTTTCCGTTTTCATAGACTCCCGGCTGGCTCAAATGAGGATGTCGATGGGGTCAACAAACGACGAGGCACATCGAGCTGAGATCGAAGTACTCCTGGTTGACATCGATGATGATGACCTCGCCATCGTCTGGGATGGCGAGCATAGAGCAGGCAATGAAACACATCAGCCTGCCTTCTCCATGCTTGAGCTCTACTGCCCGCTGGACTACCACTGCTGACAATAGAGTGGAAAGGGAAGCAAAGGGTGAGCTGGAGGAAGTGAGACCCCATATCAGCCTCATCTCTTTGCTTATACTTATGCTTATCATTCAAAATTTAAATTTTAAATCTTAAATTTAAAGTTGATTTTGGGTTTTTCATCGAAATTTATTTTTTAGCATTTATTTTTAGATCACTAAGAACATATATATAAAAGTTTTATTCACAAATTATTTTTCGTTTGGAAATATGTTGTTTCGCTTATTCCTCGAATATGAAACGATGGGGGTCGTATGTATGGTATTTTTTTCTTCATGTATCTGACATGTGGACTACATAGATTTTTTTTCTAAAGTGACACTGACATTGGTCACATTGAGTTTTTTTTTATCGCAACTAGCATGGTGGCCCGTGCAGATTGCGCGGCTAGCATCATTATATTTTCTCTCATATAATAGCATATATGTTTTCTCATTATATTATTAAAATATATTACAATGACAACATAATTTTAAATTTTGCAATAACTTTTCAAAACTACTAATGTGTAATAACTACTCTAGTCTTCTCTTCTAATATTACTTATTTTTTAATTATGAATTTCAGCTATTTCTAAATTGTATTTCTATATGTACTATGCTTTTTCTTTTTCTCTGATTAATGTGAGAATTTCTAGGCCATGAGAGCGAATGTGGAGGCTCCTTTTATTCCGAATTTTAGTTGGTTTTAAATTCCAATATGAACTCTATACTCTACTTCTAATATTCCTTATTTTTTAATTCCAAATTTTAGCTATTTCTAAATTGTATTTCTATATGGACTCTAGTCTCCTCTTTTAATATTCCTTATTTTTTAATTCCGAATTTCAGCTATTTCTAAATTGTATTTCTATATGGACTCTGCCTTTTCTTTTTCTCCGATTAATGTGAGAATTTCTAGGTCATGAGAGCGAACATGGAGGCTCCTTTTTTTTTCCGAATTTTAGTTAGTTTTAAATTCCTATATGAACTCTATACTCTACTTCTAATATTTCTTATTTTTCAATTCCAAATTTCTACTTTTTTTCTTAATTGTATTTCTATATGGACTCTATACTCTACTTCTAATATTCCTTATTTTTAATTCAGAATTTTTATTATTTCCTAATTGTATTTCTATATGGACTCTATACTCTACTTCTAATATTCCTTATTTTTAATTCCGAATTTCTATTATTTCCTAATTGTATTTCTATATGGACTCTATACTCCTCTTCTAATATTCCTTATTTTTTAATTCCGAATTTCAACTATTTATAAAGTGTATTTCTATATAGACTCTAGTCTCCTCTTCTAATATTTCCTTATTTTTTAATTCCGAATTTCAGCTATTTCTAAATTGTATTTCTATATGGACTATTTTTTTTCTTTTTCTCCGATTAATGTGAGAATTTCTAGGCCATGAGAGCGAACGTGGAGGCTCCTTTTTCTATTCCTTTAATTACATAATAGATTATATTTCTATATGGACTCTGCCTTTTCTTTTTCTCCAATTAATGTGAGAATTTCTAGGTCATGAGAGCGAACGTGGAGGCTCCTTTTTTCGGAATTTTAGTTAGTTTTAAATTCCTATATGGACTCTATACTCTACTTCTAATATTTCTTATTTTTTAATTCCGAATTTCTATTTTTTTCTTAATTGTATTTCTATATGAACTCTATACTCTACTTCTAATATTCCTTATTTTTAATTCAGAATTTCTATTATTTCCTAATTGTATTTCTATATGGACTCTGTACTCTACTTCTAATATTTCTTATTTTTAATTCCGAATTTCTATTATTTCCTAATTGTATTTCTATATGGACTCTATACTCCTCTTCTAATATTCCTTATTTTTTAATTCCGAATTTCAACTATTTCTAAAGTGTATTTCTATATAGACTCTAGTCTCCTCTTCTAATATTCCTTATTTTTTAATTCCGAATTTCAGCTATTTCTAAATTGTATTTCTATATGGACTCTGTTTTTTCTTTTTGTCTGATTAATGTGAGAATTTCTAAGCCATGAGAGCGAACGTGGAGGCTCTTTTTTCTATTCCTTTAATTATATAATAGATAGATTGTGCATGGGCATCACGTTAAATGAAGACTAAATCAATATACCAAACCAAATCATTCGAAACTACCCTCAATACCATTAAGCAAATCGATTTATATTGGTTTTCAAAGTTATGGAACGTTCTATACCTATGCGAACCAAATTCCACCAATAGTTGGAGGTCTCAAAGTGGACTTTTCCAATGGCATTTCTGTTTCCTGCTCCCTAGTCGTCCCTACTGTACGCTCCATGTGATCTGATTGCTGTGTACCTAAAACCTACCAGCTGGTGTACTCATCATAGTACTACTGACTATTGACTATTATAGCAAGGAATTCAATACTTATATTATATACACATGTTTAGTTTGAAACTTTTTTTTCAAACTTTCAACTTTTTTATCACATCAAAACTTTCCTACACACATAAACTTCCAACTTTTCCATCACATCGTTCCAATTTCAACCAAACTTCTAATTTTAGCGTAAACTAAACACACCCATAGTTTAGGCCCCATTTGATTAAAAAAATTCATAAAATTTTAGAGGATTTTATTTCTATAGGAATTTTTCATATATAACCCTTTGAATTAAAGGAATGGATCTTATATAATCCTATGAAACTCCTATGGAATGTCTAATGCCATGTAAGTTTTGGAGGAAACCTAACCTGAGGTAGAACCTCGTGGAAACTTTCTTTTGAGTCTTTATCTCTCTTCTAATTCATGTGTTTTTCCTGTGGTCTAATCAAACGGTCATTCCTGTGTTTTTTTTCTGTGTTTTGCAATTATCTGTTTTACACTTATATTCCTATTAAAATTTTCCGTTTTTCTTATTCCTACGTCTTCTCAAATTGTTGCACAATGAGAAAACGCTACTAATATTTTTTATACGTTTATGCTGTACCAACCCAATCATATGTTCATTATTTTAGTATGATAACCAGGAATCGTCGAACCTCAGCGAAAAAAACCTGTTCATCATCAGCTCGAGTGTTCAACGACCTTTGCCCTCCATCCCAAAATCTCACCGGCACCAGCAAAGGCAGCCATGGATCCAGCCACCACCGAGCTGCGGTTCGACACGCCGCTCCTCCGCATCTACAACGACGGCCGCGTGGAGCGCCTCTTCGGCACGGAAACCACACCGGCGGGCTTCGACGGCGCCACCGGGGTCACCTCCAAGGACGTCGTCATCGACGACGCCACCGGCGTCTCTGCCCGCCTCTACATCCCCGACCTCCCCGCCTCCGGCCCCGGTCATCACCGCAAGAAGCTACCCATCGTCGTCTACTTCCACGGCGGCGGCATGGTCCTCGACTCGGCCGCCTCCCCGACGTACCACAGGTACCTCAACTCCCTCGTCTCCAAGGCCGGCGCCCTCGCCGTGTCCGTCAACTACCGGCTTGCCCCGGAGCACCCGCTTCCGGCGGCGTACGACGACGCCTGGGCCGCACTCAGCTGGACCGCGTCAGCTGCCGACCCATGGCTGTCGGAGCACGGTGACGTCGGCCGTGTCTTCTTGGCCGGTGACAGCGGCGGCGCCAACGTCGTCCACAACGTAGCAATCATGGCCGGCGCCGGCCAATCTAGCCTACCCCCAGGAGCAACAGTGGAAGGTGTGATCATACTGCATCCCATGTTTTCCGGCAAGGAGCCGATCGACGGCGAGAACGCGGAGACGAGGGAGCTGACGGAGAAGCTCTGGCCCCTGATATGTGCAGACGCAGAGGCTGGGCTCGATGACCCGAGGCTGAACCCCATGGCAGAAGGAGCTCCGAGCTTGCAGAAGCTGGGATGCCGGAAGCTGCTCGTCTGCTCGGCCGAGAGCGACATTGTGCTGGCGAGGGCGGCGGCGTACTACCAGGCAGTGATGGCGAGCGGGTGGCCCGGCATGGCTGAGTGGCTGGAGTCCAAGGGAGAGGAGCACGTGTTCTTCCTCAACAAGCCGGATTGCGAGGAGTCTGTGGCGCTCATGGACAGGGTAGTCGCCTTCCTCGCGGGTAATTGATGAAAGGGATCGGATGAAATCAAAACTGTTCTTGCTTATCGCAAGCACATAAATTTGATCGTGAATAATGGGAGATTGGGGGGAGAAAGGGATGGGATTTTCCTCTTGTTCTCTGCAACCACTAGTTCAAGAAAGATGCGCTAAATCGGATCAAGTTCAGGCTTTGTTAGCTGTGGTTGTTAAGCTCTAAGATGAAATTCATGAGGTGTTTAATAGAAGGTGAAACTGAAAGCGTGTACTGGGTATGATGATTTATTGTGAGGTAAGTTCGGTGTGAAATATGGAACATGATTTAACTGTATTCGCTATTCTTGAATAAATCATGCTCAGTAAACAAACTGTACTGGGAGCACATGACAAAACCATTTGTCAACTGCAGAAGTTGCTCACCTAACACGATTTCAGGTCGAGATTCGAGGAGATCCTTCATTTTGGCCTTTATTGCGTGAATCAGAGACCATTTACCACACAAATGAACCACTAGGTGCAAACATTCCTAGCTACGATTAGGTTTTACACCCTCCTTCAGAGTATGATAACTGATAAGATACCCAATATTACAAACTCAATAGCATCATCTGGACTTTAGACTGACATTAAAAAAATGGCATTTTTTTTGGTGATTAGACAATGAAGAACTAGAATGAGTACACTCATTGATGTTGCAGTTTTCTAAAATTTACTCAACTAGAAATGAACAAAAGGGATAGGGCAAAATTTCATAGCTATGCTGAACCTTGACGCACTTAGGAAATTCATAATCAACTAAAATATTCCTTTTCTTTTCCACTTCAATGATGCAAATCATCAATGAGAATCAAAATCATAGACAGTATATATTCCTCCCTTTATTACTAGTTACGAGTAGTAGTAGTATAATCGCTCACCGGCGACACGAGGGATAACCGAAGCGGCTGGCTTCAACAGCGCCGGACGAAATCGGTCACGACGGCGAGCTCCTTGACGGCATTGTCGCAGTCGGGCTTGGGCAAGAAGAAGACATGGCCCTCGCCATCGGTCTCGTGGAGCTCCACCTCGCCGTCCCACCCGCACTTCTTGATCCCCTCCGCGTACGCGCGCGCCCTCTCCACGAACCAGCAGTGCTCCGCCGTAGTGACCAGGACGCGGCCGGCCCCGAGCTGCCTCCACTCCTCCGGCGACGCCAGCGGGTTGACGCACGGGTGGTCGAGGCCGAGCTTGCCGGCGCTGACGAACTCCCACGTGCCGTGGAACGAGCCGCGGTAGCCGGCGTCGGTGGACTCGCCGCCCACGGGGTCCTTCCCCCAGAAGTAGGGGTGGAGGAGCACCACGCCGCTGACCTTGTCGCCGTAGCCCTCGATCCCTTCCTTCCGCAGCCGGATCGCCGCGTTGTGCGCCATGTTGGCGCCGGCGCTGTCGCCCGCGAGCACGACGCGGGACGCGTCGCCGTGCGCGGCGAGCCATGGCTCGGCGCCGTCGGGGCGGCACGCAGCGACGACCGCCCTGAGGGCGGCGAACGCGTCGTCGTAGGCGGCCGGGACGGGCTGCTCCGGGGCGAGGCGGTAGTCCGCCGAGACGACGACGGCAGGGACCGCCGCGGCGAGGGAGGCGGCGTACCTGTGGTAGAGCGGGGACGCGGCGGTGTGGACCAAGAACGCGCCGCCGTGGAAGAAGAGCACGACGGGGAGCTTCTTCCCCGGCTCCACACCAGGCGGGAGGTAGAGACGAGCGGAGATGCCGGCGGCCGGGTCGAGGACGACGTCCTTGGAGACGACGCCGTTGGCGGGGTCGCCGGATGGGGACGGCGGGACGGTCTGCGTGCCGTCGAAGCGCTCGACGCGGCCGTCCTTGTACATGCGCAGGACGCCGGGCATATCGAACTCGATCTCGGAAGCGGCGGCGTCCATGGCGGCGGCGGCGGCGGTGTCCGTGCTGCGGGGCTTGAGGCTGATTGGGATCGGGAGCTGCAAGAGCAGAGCAGCAAGCGGAGCGGCGAGCAGAGCCACACGCAGCAACCAACGCGACAATTCTGGAGCGGGTGTTGCCATCTTGATGGCGAGCAAACGGCCCGACCAACCAGAGATCCGCTGACCTGAATCCGAATCCTACGCCTTCCGAGTAGACACGCCATCTCAAAGTCTCTCCAAATCGTACCTTCCACCACTCATCAACCACTCTCTGATCTGTAGTGTTATCTCTGCTTCTGTAGAAATCCGTATCACATTGCTTACAGAGCACTTGTTTAGTTTCCAGTTTTTTCTTCAAACTTGTAACTTTTCCATCACATCGAAACTTTCCTATACACACAAACTTTCAACTTTTTCATCACATTATTCCAATTTCAACCAAACTTTCAATTTTAGCGTGAACTAAACACACCTAGAAGTTGATGTCTTGACTTCCTTGCTTCCTGCACGGCTGCACGGTCATGCCATAAACAGACCATGAATTTTGGAGGAACTTTAGGTATTTGATGTGGTAATAGGAGGTACAGTATCATATTTCTTAGCATAAAATTGAGATTATAAGAAATAGCACTTGAGAATCTAGACCCCAATTTCTGAATGCTAATTGGAACTATTTACACGACATTCAAAAGTATTTAGGTGTCAAAACACTCGAAATTTCACTATTAGTGAGTGCTTGGGTTTTATGAAAGGGAAAAATTGATTAAAATCAGGGTGATGCTTATGGCTAGTGTGTGTTTGAGTGTTGTGGCTTATTTGGAATGATTGGGTTTTTTCAAGACATCTTGGTTAATTCTTCCTTGCAGGTAATTTACAAAGCTTTATCCTTTTTTCAGAAATGGTGTATCATGTTAAGAAAAGAAGATCAAGCTACTATGCTAGGTTGGCATGACTTGATGATGGAGGGACTGAATTAAGTGAAACCATGTTGCCTTCCTGCAGCGGTGTAGTTGATGCTTAGTGTACGTTAGTAGGAAGTTTTTTTAAGTCTGTTATTGTAGCTGCAATAGTGGGTGTCGTTCTGCTTGCTCTGAGACCTGGCCCTGTTTGTCGGTTTTACTTTAGTTTGTTTTGCTTGTCTTTCCTTCAGTGTAAGACTCTGTGATGCTTTTGGCCTTTTGGGCTTTCTTATAAAACTGGATCAATGCAAATTTGATCTGTTAAAAAAAACAATCGAATTTTTCAGCCACTGATTCAACATTGACGGTCATGGCTATGGTTCATGGGCCCTCAACAAAATACAATACAATAAGGATGGCCCATTTGCAAAATTCGGGGGAAATTTGGGACCATAATGGTGTAGTCACATGTCTAGTTACAGCGTAAACTAACGTGTAAAAGTGTCACTTGAACAACGTAATTGGTGCAGCTCAGTGGAAAGGAATCATCCTTGTGAAGCGGAGGGTGCCTGGTTGATTCCCTGTGTAGTTTTTCTCCAAAAAAATTGCCGCTAGGTTTTTATCCATTCGGTATTAATTTATTATCAAAGTTCTTTTGCTATCAAGTCCTAAAATTAGAATAAGAATCTGGTCCTTCTGGACTACCCGGAGATTCTGAGAGTAGTTGTAGACTTGTAGTTTAGAAGCTCTTTTAAACGGAGCCTTATTACCTTCTGATAGTTGAATTATCCAGAGATTGTAAACTTGACACTATGAAATGTGGCCATATTTGACAAAGTTTGTCCTATGGATTGGTGGTGAGCAAATGATTGAATGAGATATTTGCTTGAATCCAAAATATCTCAAAGTAGACACACCATCTCAACGTAATCTCAAAATCTCCCTAACTTAATCCGTACCTACCACTCAGCTTGTCCTTGATCTAGTGATGCTTCTATAGAAACCAACATCACATTACTTGCAGGAGTTTGATGCCCTGACCTCGCGAAAATCCTAATAAGAGATCAATCGCCCCGCGTGATCACCTCATTCTCCACATGGTTTTCTTTTTTGGCACCGCATTACTTTCCTATTTTAGTAAATTTATTCACATAAAGGTTATACACCTCAAGTTTACACATCTAAAGTTTATACACCTAAAGATTAGAAACCCAAAGTTTATAAGTCAAAAGTTTATATATCCGATTCAAATTTGAATTTGAATTCAAATATTTTTTATATATAATATTTATATACATCTAAAATTTATACACCTAAAGTTTATAGACCCAAAGTTTATAAGTTAAAAGTTTATATACCAGATTCAAATTTGAATCTGAATTTAAATATTTTTTTATACATAGTATTTCTATACATAAATTTTTCTAACTTTGTTTTTTTTATTTTTTAAAAAAATTTATGGTGTAGTAGGAACAGAAGAAGAGAGGAGGAAGCAGGAGAGGAGCGTATTAGGGGGGATGGGGGTGATCGCCCACAGCGATCACCCGCCCATTAGCGTCACCCCTAGCCTCGTGCACGACAATGTCATAAACAAACCACGAATTCCAGATAAATTTTAGGTATTTGATGAGGTATTGGGAGTACGATTTTTTCAGTGCAAAATTTAAAATATAGAGATTTAGACATGTATATTAGAGCTAGAGGTTCTAAGTTGTTGGTGAGAATTTGGTCCACCACTTCTAGAGATATTAGTTCATCTCGAAAACTGGACTATTTGAAGGGGTTAGAGATTCTAGGATTAGCATTTAGCTAAAGCTACCAAAAGCTCTTCCAAATGAGGACTTAGGATCTGTTTGATGGTGTTTCTAGCAGCTGCAGCTTCTCTCACAATCGAAAACTCACTCAAATAGTCTAACTTTTCATATAGATTTTAACAAGTTATAGTTGTACAATCCAGAAAATAAATTAGAAGCCAGAAACTAGATTTTCTAAGTTCTATAGATTCTCAGGATTCTCATAAGCTACTTCTCAAAATCTGGAATTCCTGTTTAGGGAGTTTTAAATTCTGATAAGCAACTGGTTGGCACTTAGGCTATTCATATCACGTGTCTAGAATTCCTTCATTTTTCTTATGTAGTAATCAAAACAATTTTGTTGTGTATCAAAATCTCATAGGAATCCAATAAACATGACATTTTATTTCTATGTTTTCTCAATCTGACGTTTAAAAAGGGCTATCAGTCAATAAGTAGCTTGAAAAACTGTTTTTTTAAGAACAACAATGAGTATTACATTCAAAACTTGATCTAGCTAAGTAACCAAACGAAGTTTCACACGAAGCAATTCATTCCCAAGCAAAGGTTTTTCTACAATCCAAACTTCAGGCTGTCTGTGCCACTCCGCTCCAAGGCGACATGGGCGGCGACACTAAACCCCGCTGCTAGCTCCCCTCCCTCGCCTCCTCTGCCTCGCCGCCGCCTGAGCAGTTGCCAACAAAGCCGGGCGGCGGTGAGGAACTTCTTCTTGCTCGCACCACAACCCGACATATGGAGCTTTGATGAGGAACGAGCGGAGGGGCAGAGACGTGGTCTTCGGCACCGCTGGTGGCTGGAGGCGATGGATCCGAAACTGACGAAGGAGGATCTGCCCCGCTAGCAGCTAGATCGGGATGGAGCAGCGCCGGCCATGCCGCGTCGAAGGCCGGCAAAGGAGGTTGAGCCGCTGGCAGAGGAGGCCGAGACGTAGGCGAAGGGCGTCATGGTGCCGGCAAAGGACGTTGCAGCGCAGGCGGAGGAGATCGCGGCGCCGGTGGACGAGGTGGTGGCGGGGCCAAGGGGTGGTGGCAGCCACGAGTGGTGGTGGAGGTGGCGGCATCCCGTCTAGATCCATGCCGTTCTGACCGGATATGGGAGGTGGCCGCTGGCGGTGGGGTTGAGTGGTGGCGGCGTCAGCTGGCGATGGTAGCTGCAGTGGCGGTGATGATCGACACCAGTGATGGCGACTGCTAGCGGCGGTGTCACCCAGGCCAGCGTCATGGCAGAGGCGGCGGGTTGGCGTGTCGTCGACGGCGACAGCACGAGGTGGAGGCGGGGAAGGAGGAGACCGGTGAGGTGTCGACAGCGGGATGCGGGCGATGGCAACTTCGGCAAGAGGTGCGGGCGGCTGTGGATGAGATACAGGCGACTAGCCGGGAGGGAGGGGGAGGCATGGGCGACGACAGCAGCTGGCCGACGGAGGAGCCGACGTGACTGGAGGCGCGGCTAGAGGTCCGCACGACGCGAGGAGGCGCAACCAGCGGGTGGTAGAGGCCGGTGCGTTGTGGCGGCATGCGGAGGCTGGTCGCCAGGGGGCGTTAGTGCAGCGGTGCCACGTGCCGGCAAAGGATTTGATGGCAGAGGAGCATCAATATGGCGGATGTGGATTTGCAGGCGGTGGGCGGCAGGTGAAAACCTAGCCTAGCCTTGGCTGGGCCTGCAACGACGACGTTTTCAAGCGTCTTCCCCTCTTGAGGGCATTGCCATGCCGTCCCATCTCCTCCAGACTCCAGTGGGACTGTCGGGTGAAAACCTAGTCTCGGCTATCCTTAAGACCTTGACGGACGACAACGGCGATGTCTTTGTCGTTCCTCTCTCTAGAGATGTCATCTAGGTAGCCCTTGGCCGAATCCATCCAGACAACTTGTGCAAGCTCGCTCTCTAGATGCATGTCCTCTTGTGTCGGCGCCCTAGCTTATGTAAGTTGGCCCCGTCGAAAAGCCTAGAGGGAGAGTGGTTCAATCCTTCTCTTTCACCCTCTCTCCCTCAATCCCATAGAGGTGGCTGGAGTGGGGTTTAGTGTTGGTTGTTAGGGATATGTTTTGGGCAATCTCGGCTATAGTTTCTTTGTTGTTATAGCGGCGGCCGGTTCGAGTGCCAGCCTTTTCTAGGATTTGTGTTTGGTGCTGTCGGTACATGGGTGGTGGTTTTTTCTTTGTTTTATTGGTTAAAACCTCCCAAGATTGTATCAATATGAATTTCACGCTGTCCGATGCGAGTTGCTTAAAAAAAAAGAAACTTCAGGCTGTCAGGAGAAGGGACGGGCAGATACATGAAAGAAGCAATTCATTCATCCCAATATTTGTCAACGCAGAAACGCTAGACAAATCAGTACCCAGCACGAGCTGGTGTCTTCCCCGAGTCCCCGTCGGGATGCCGTGATCCACCACAACACCACGGACCACCAAACCAAAGCAAAGCAAGGGTCTCCGTCATGCTCACATTCCTAGGTCCTCCTTGTGGCATCTCCCCACCAAAAAGCGTCGTCCTCAACCTCAAACCTCGCAATTTTCTATCTGTTCTCCCTACCAGGCGCTATTTATTCAGATTGAGCTAATCAGCCACCAAACTCGCAGAATTGTGGCTGTTTTCTTCCTCTCCAGCTTCCAATCTGATCGTTGTCAGTGTGGTTATTGGAGCAGTTGCCATCGATCATGGTCGCCAAGATCAAGCGACAGATCGGCGGCCTCTCACTCCTCGCTAAGCTTGGTTTGCTTCTGCTCGCGCTGCTGCTGCTTCTTGCTGCTATCTTGCTGTTGGTGTTCTTGCTCCCGCGTCACCATCGGAGGCCGTTGCCGCCGGGGTCGCCGCCGGTGAACGCCTCCGACCCCGACAACATCGTGGCGTTTGATTTCTCGCCGTTCCTTATACTGTACAAGAGTGGGCGCGTCCACCGGATGGATGGGACGGACCGCGTCCCCGCCGGCGTCGACGAGGCCACCGGGGTGACGTCCAAGGACGTCGTCATCGACCGGAGCACCGGCGTCGGCGCCCGGATGTACCTACCGCCGGCGAAAGGTGCGGGGAAGAAGGACCTTGCCGGCGCGCTGCCCGTTCTTGTGTTCTTCCACGGCGGCGCGTTCGTCATCGAGTCGGCGTTCACGGCCAAGTACCACGACTACCTGAACAAGGTCACGGCGAAGGCGCGCGTCGTGGCGGTGTCCGTGGACTACCGCCTCGCGCCGGAGCACCCGGTGCCGACGGCGTACGACGACTCGTGGCAGGCGCTGAACTGGGTGGCCAAGAACGGCAGGTCCGGGCCGGAGCCGTGGCTGCGGGACCGCGGGAACATGTCCCGCCTGTTCCTCGCCGGCGACAGCGCCGGCGCCAACATCGCGCACAACATGGCGATGCGCGCCGGGAAGGACGGGGGGCAGCTTGAGGGCGGCGTGGCCATCACCGGCATCCTCCTCCTCGACCCCTACTTCTGGGGCAAGAACCCCGTGGGCGCGGAGACCACGGACCCGGCGAGGCGGCGCCAGTACGAGGCGACGTGGTCGTTCATCTGCGACGGCAAGTACGGCATCGACGACCCGCTGGTGGACCCGCTGTCCATGCCGGCGCCGGAGTGGCGGAAGCTGGCGTGCTCGCGCGTGGCCGTGACGGTGTCCGACCTCGACGACTTCAAGGAGCGCGGGAAGGCGTACGCGGCGGCGCTCCGCGACAGCGGGTGGGGCGGCGAGGTGGAGGAGTACGAGACCGCCGGCGAGGTGCACGTCTACTTCCTCGACAAGCCCTCGAGCCCCAAGTCCGCCAAGGAGCTGACCTTCGTCGCCGGCTACCTGAGCCACGAGTAGCAGCAGCAGCACAACGGCATGGGTGTCAGATTGGTCGCAGACTTGCAGTACATGATTGATTGATAATTACTCATTAGTGGAGTACCAGCTAGTACAGTTGTCTACATGTCTTCTTGTCTTGTGCATCTATAGATTTCTCCATTGTTTGATCGATCGGTCATCCGGATCCAGTTCATGATGAGTACAGTGAAATTGCTGGGGATTTTGGGGGAAAGTTGGATGCTTTCCGTGCCTGCAGTGTTCAGAAGAATCGGCAGGGGAGTGTAAGTTTCTCCAAAGTGAGTGCAGAGTGCAGTCAGAGGATTGGTCAATCTCGTTATCTTGTGGTGACCGGGTGACGCATGCCGAGCACCCAGTGCAAATATTTTACTGTTTGGATCATTTGTTTTCTTCAGAAACCTCGTACGGTTGTTCAGATGTCTCCTGGTCTTGCCAAAATTATGCATGAAGCTGCTGGTTATTTTAAACGGTGTCAAGAAATCAAAACCGGTCAATTCAGAATTTTGTGCTGCTGACATCTCAACTGAACTCCAGGATGACTGACTGCTTGATCAATGCAGAACTGCAGATATGTTTTGCCTGTCAATGTTTGTTGGGGTCCTAGTGGTGAATGCACTTATTTAGGACTGTGAAAGGCACTTGATTAGTGCTGACGATTCGATTAGCGAAACGCTAGAATGAGCAATAGTACTGTGCCTGAGACAAGCTAGTGTCGTATTGGCGATTTGGCGTAGAGTGGGAATGGGCTGGGATGGCGACCACAGGAGACAGGGAAAGATGAAGAAAAACAGCCACAATTTCGAGATAATACAATGCATTGCAATGCTTTGGAACAAAAACTTCAGAACCATACCTTCGATCTTCGATGCACAGATTGTTGCCGAACAATTACAAATTTGAACTGTTCTTTTTCTCCTTTTTTCGACTTGCCCATATGTAATTGTTATTTTTCACCTATCCCAATAACAAAGAAACCTGACTTAAACGATCCTACGTAAGCAAAATTAGCTCCTCCATTTTGTACTAATTGTTTATGGTTGTGCAAGGTGCTTCCTTTCGTGGGGAGGCAAACCAAGCACACATTGCCCTGAGAAAGCAGAAAGCTCATCGGATGTCCCTTTTGTCCAAACACAGAACGGCAAAAACTGATGAAGATAATGATGTTTCACCTAATACACCACAGTGAGACCGGAAGAAGGATTAGTAGGTTAAACGACAAGGTTGATCATGCCTGCAAGGCTGCAACACCAAGCCGTTGTTTCAAAGCGAAGATCCGTAGCATGAAGCACGTCCATAAAGTGCTAGAGAGATGATGTCAAGCACGGCTCTAGGAACCTGATTATTATTGACTATAGTTGTAACTAGGCAATGATTGGCGTTGGCGAAATGGCGAGCCAGAAGACAAAAGTTCACATCAGCCATCGTGTCACTTCCTTGGCCAAGTGCAATTTTGTGCAAGACTTTGTGGAGCTCAACAACTTGTGCAACTGCATCTCTCCTCTTCTCATTCAATTCATGCCTGATACCATGTGCTTGGTTTGGTGATCAGGATACAAGGCAGAATGTTGGTGATTGATGAAGTTCGGTTAAACGAATGCACACATTAGCAACAGGAACTACATTAGCAACAGCAACAGGAACATAGTCCATCTTTGGCATACATTGATCTAGTTCAACTGAAAAGGAAAAGGGGACTGCCTATTTAATGATTCAACGAGAACACCATTCTAAATCCTACTATTTTTAACTATTGGATTGCCGTAAGGTTTATGCAGATTCCTCTAACCCTAACCTCTCTCTCTTTTCCTTCTTCCTCCCTTCCTGCCGCCACGGTGTGAGCGCTTGATGTCACTGGCGTTACCCTGCCTCCTGCTCTGCCACCTGGTTGGAAGGGGGTCTAAAGAAGCTAGTGAGCCCCATCCTGACCCACCCAAGCAGCCTCATCCCCGCCTTCTCTTCCCCAAGGCAATGACACCAATTGATGCCTCATCATCTTTCTTGTCTCCGACGGTTCTTCACTGCTAGATACATCATTACTAGCCACCGCCTCGTAACCAGTCTCCCCTCGTGTTCCCGTTGGCCCACCGCCTGTTGCCAACCCCGCGGCTCCGGCACGTCCGTTGGTATCCACCGTCCACCGTTAGTTCTCTGCCGCCCACGACCATTCCTCTAAAGCCTTGGGGAACCGCAACCCCAAACCATAATTTTTATGTCTCTTGCCATAGTTGGGGATGATGTTGGAGAAAATAGGGAACTCGCTGGAGTTAGATAAGAGGAAGCCCATGCACGAATATTGGCTGGATCCGACGGTCCAAAATTTGTAAGTTTTCATCCCCAAATTTCTGTCAAATGCCATTTAGCAAATTCACATTTACGACTAATTATTTTTTAAGTAGTAGGCGACGTACCTATCGATAGCAAGGTGGTGACTTCGTCAGTCTCAAGATTTGTTAGATCCAGTTTTTCGGATGTACTTATATAAGGGTAGGATATGTGTGTTCATAGAGATACGTGTATACGCATTGTGAACGCATATGCTTGTATTGTGTTTCTGACAAGGAAAACCCATTTTCTACGTTGTGCAAGTAAAATAGAAAGGACAGTTTTTAAGTTGAAATGTAGTGTGTCAATAGACATCTGTGTTTTACATGGATTCATACTAGGCGAAATCAGCATAAATCAAATAACAAATCATACAGCAATAGCAATAGACAGCAGCATGCCCAATGCAACAGTTACCCAAGAGGCCATTGGATTCTCTACCGATTTACGAACTCAGCAATGGCGTCGTCCTGCCTGACGGCCTCGTCGCCGTTGAAGTCCATCAGGTGGAAGCAGTGGCCATGGCCGGCCACCTCGACGACCTCCACCTCCCCCGCCCACCCGCTCGCCTTAAGCCCCTCGCAGTACGCGCGGCCGCGGTCGCGGATCACATCCTTCTCCGCGAGGCACACGAGCACGCGGCCGCAGGCCAGCCCTTCCAACCCCGGCGCGCCGTCGGCGAGCGGGTTGATCCACGGATCGTCGACGCCGGTGGTCGCCGGGCACACGACGCTCCACATCTTCACCACGTTCTCCGCCATCGCCGGGTCCCAGTCCTCTGAGGGGACCTTGCCGCGGCCGAGGAAGTAGGGGTGGACTAGGACGACGCCGTTGACCCTGCCGCCGTGGGGGAGCCCCTCGGCGCCGGCTCGCATGGCCATGTTGTGCGCGATGTTCGCGCCGGCGCTCTCCCCGGCGAGGTACACGCGGGAGAAGTCGGCGTGGTCGGTGAGCCAGGTCTCCTCGCCGGCGCCGGGGGCGTGGGAGGCCGCCCAGAGGACAGCCTGCCACGAGTCCTCGTACGCGGCGGGGAGGGGGTGCTCGGGCGCGAGGCGGTACTCGACGGAGACGACGATGGCTCGGGTGCGCGCGGCGAGGGAGGTGAGGTAGGCGTGGAAGACGAAGTTGAAGGCCGTGTGGAGGCAGAAGCCGCCGCCATGGAAGTAGATGAGGAGCGGGAGCTTCTTTCCCTCACCTTCCCCGCTCACGCCGGCGACGGGCGGGAGGTAGAGGCGGACGGAGACGTCGGGGGAGATGGCGCGGTCTTTGGAGGCGACGCCGGTGGCGGCATCTGTGGAGGCCGGGACGGAGTCGGAACCGAAGTAGCGCTCGACGCGGCCGCCCTTGAAGATGCGTATGCAGTGTTCGACCTCGAAGACGACCTCGCCGTCGATGTCGCCGGAGCCAGCCATGGAGTCGGGATCAACTACGGTAGGTGTTGCCCTGTTGGTTTGTTGGGCTGTGTGCCTTTTGCTTTGCTTTGGTATTGAAGGGGCCAACCGCCAACGTGGCCCACGTGGATGTGCCACATGATCGTTTAGACTTTTCAGTCTCACGTGAGCCGTTCGATTCTACATTTGACGGTCTCGATTGAAACGGCTCAATGCTGCGCCGCCGACGTTGTCTCGCGGCGGCGGTGGCGGCTTCTTCGGCGGCCACCTCGATTCTTCCAGAATCCAGATCCAAGTTTTGAAGTGGAGTACTCCACTAGTTCGAATTTGTCCGAGATCTCCCGGCGCCATGTCCGACGCTGGGGCTGGAGGCGACAGCGACGAGGTCATCCACGACGCCCCCAACTTCATCCGCGTGTACAAGAGCGGCCGCGTCGAGCGCTTCCTGCGGATCGACTTCGCGCCGCCGTCCACGGACGCCGCCACCGGGGTCTCCTCGAAGGACGTCGTCGTCGTCCCGGGGGACGGCGTGTCGGCGCGGATCTACCTCCCGTCGACCCCCGCCAGCGGCTACGGGCGCAGGCTCCCCGTCCTCGTCTTCTTCCATGGAGGCGGCTTCTGCCTCGGCTCGGCGTTCGACGCCGCGACGCACGGTCACGCCAACCGGCTCGCCGCGCGGGCTGGCGTCATCGTCGTTTCGGTGGAGTACCGCCTCGCGCCGGAGCGCCCGGTCCCCGCGCTCTACGACGACGCGTGGGCGGCGCTCCAGTGGGTGGCCTCGCACGCCGCGGGTGAGGGGCAGGAGCCCTGGCTGACCGCCCACGCCGACTTCGGGCGCGTCCACGTCGGCGGCGAGAGCGCGGGCGCCAACATCGCGCACCACGCCGCAATGCGGGCCGGTGCCGAGGAGCTGGGCCACGGCGTGAAGGTGAACTCGCTCGTCCTGATCCATCCCTACTTCCTGGGCGGCGACGGCGATGGCTACTCCGAGTCAGACGAGATGGGCATGGCGTTGCTGCGCGAGCTGATCCGGCTGTGGCCGGTGGTCTGCCCAGGGACGAGCGGGTGCGACGACCCGTGGATCAACCCGATGGCGGATGGCGCACCCAGTCTGGCCGTGCTGGGATGCCGTCGTGCTCTGATTTGCATTGGAGGGAAGGATGCAATGAGGGATAGAGGAAGGCTGTATTGTGAGAAATTGAGGGAATGTGGGTGGCGAGGGGAGGTGGAGATCTGGGAGGCAGATGGGCAGGGCCATGGCTTCCATCTCTTGTGGCCGACATGTACTCAGGCGGAGGCACAATTACGGGTCATCGCCGAGTTCCTGAGCCATGGATGAGATCTCTGGACTATGTTGTTCCACTACTGCACACGATATGTCCATTGTTCAAATAGAATTGGATATCAAAGTACATTATCAGTTCTGACTTCTGAGTTCTTACAAATGTTTGCTTTCAACATTGTTTTTCAGGACAATGTTCTACTAGCCTATGAAGTTCATATTCAGACTCAGTTAGTGAGCTATTCTTATCCATTAGAACGTTTATTATGTGTTTTACAAAAGGTTTAATAAATCTAAGATACCTTAGTTCTTCTTACGGACGTTTGCTTTGGTTGTTTTTCAGTACAATGTTCTACTAGCCTATGAAGTCCAAATTCAGACTGAGTTATTGGGCTATTCTTATCCATTAGAACGTTTATTATGTGTTATACATATGTTTAATAAATGTAAGACATGAATATAAACTTTTCAAGTCACGATAGAAAGGAAATACTAAACAGTTTTAGCATAAACTAGCTCCCCTGTGTCAGGTTTATCTTGGAGAGTCTGATGCACAGATGTTTACTGCTAGAAGTCTCCAATTGGATATACAGCAAAACATCTTTTGTGTTTCTTTTTCTGGCATGACTTCACAAAATATTAAGCACTAGTAAGAATATTCCTTTCCATCTTGTTGCATGACTTGTTAGCTGATGTAATACGTCACGCATATGTGAGAATGATTACGTACAGGTGAGAGAATGATCAACATACAATACAAGGTGATCCCAGAAACAACCTAATTACTTAAGCTATTTGACAGCTGTGATGAACCAGCAAATATACAGAACATAGTTGTGAGCCACTTTGAAGTACTTTCCGTGCTCGTACCTCTTGGATAATGTTTTTCAGGGAGGCCGTAACCATATTGATTATGGAGTTCCAATCCCCGGCTCGCTGCTTTGTCTATCCTGCAGGGCATGGTCGCATAGATGATGTATTGGACAATTCCTTTCATTTGCTGAGTCAACAGGGTTTTGTACAGTTCTGACTTTACCTCTTTGTCTTATCATTGACCAAATGCAGCTTCCTTTCTTATCTTGGGAGATAATGCTGTTGAATAATCTGTGAGCTATATGCAATAAATGTTATTACAGTAATCAAATAACACTGGCTATATGCAATAAATGTTATTGTAGTAATCAAATGACACTTTTTTTACTAGATGAACATTGTATTCTCATTTCTGATAAATGGAAATGGGAGGAGGGATCACCTCCTCTTGATAAAAGAAAGTAATCTTATAATGCTGGCAGTATTATAGATATTACTTCATCAATTAATTTTCTTTTTTGCAGTGCCAGAAAGATTGACGTGGAATTGTTATATGGCAGATTGATAGTTCATGAGGTAAGCAAGGTTACTATTGTAAGAACTGCATGAGTCATGAGATGATGAGAATTTGAGAAGAGGTCTCCAATGGTACCAGCAATCGGACAGCATCCTGAACTGAAATAGAGCCATCGTCAGCATACTTGGTAATTACGGCTTCAATCTGTTGTGCGAGTCATACATTGCAACTCACAATCTTCTATTAAAACTTATTATAAGATGTTTGGTTTTCTATTAGACTTTCTTGTAAGCAATCACTCCTCTCATTATTAAAAAAAGAGAGTTAAAACTGACCAATTACTGCTAACGCCGCAATTAATTTTGATGAACAACATTGGTATGTTACATATCATCATTGCTTACAGTTGTGCCCATAAAAGTTTATGGTACCATTTATCAATTATTTATTGTGATGAAAATGTGTTGTTTGATGATGAACTGAAATTTGGGATTGGGATTTGTTATATTGGAACTTCAAAGACAGAGAGAGTATTGTAGCTGTTGAATAAAGGATGCTCCAACATTAGATACTTTGGATTTGTGACTAGTTTTCTGCAAGTTAGTATTTGTTCTTGTTTCCCTTCCTTTAGTAAATCATTCGATTATTCTTCTGACCATTCTTTGTTCAAAAGGTCTTGAATCCTTAAATATTTTCAATATGTAATGTTTGGTATTATCATGTTGGCCTTTTCTTGGTGCAGAAGATCAGATTAGGCTTATATCTTGATATGCTGAAAGTTTACACTTCACCCCTCATTTATCTGGGCAAGGAAAGGACATCTTTTTTCTTTACTCAATTTGATGTAGAGAATATTGTTTAGCTATAGTGCTATACAATTGTGAGTATGAAAAAAGAGAGCATACCTCACCACTGATGTAACAAAAATCCAGCTAAATAAAGATGGCACCAATGCAATGGAGCTTGTAACCGTTTTTCTTTCCTGTGGCTGCATACATCCCAAAATCAAATACTACAATGGCGCACCTTCTTCTGAGCTTCTATGTATGGGCTGGTATTATGATCTTGTTGCTATTTCTTGATCAATTTCGGTCAATCAAATGAAGTAGTTCACAAATTGGCCATCTTATTCTTTTCGTAGCGTGCAAAAATGCAAGCTAGATTGGTTTGAAACAGAGCATATAAGTGAAGGTGAATTTTCCAACATGACCAACATTTTGAACTTGGATGTAAGAATTTCCTTTTTTTTTGTTTTGACAGTACCCCCAGCTTCAGGGCACTAAAGCATCCCTTAGTCTAAGGGCAACTGAGAAAGAGATGTTTATTTGCATGAAGGGGCATATGCACAGCATTTCAAATCAAACTTGCGGATGCAAGCCTCTCATCCATCATGGTGAAGAATATCTCACTTTCCATTTTTATAAATTCTCTTAGCAATTATTTTTGTCACATCAGTAGGTTCATTTAACATCCCTAAGCACAGCTGGATTAAGTTTCAGCAACCCAGATTCTTTTATGCATACCATATTTGGTTAGTTAATCCAACTAAGCAATAATAATTACTGATAGCCACCACTATCAATAATAATCCAACTAAGCAATAATAGCCCAAGTAAGTAATAGTAATCCTTGAAATCCAGTTGCCACCAGTTTGTTTATTGAAAACACCTTAGCTAGCCACCACTATTGACGATGGTTCAAACAATAAAGTGTGCACTCTTGCAACTTCAGTTCTATGTTGCCTCTCATGAGTAAAAGTTTGACATGTTTCCATTTTTATCACACGTTTAGATTGTGCATCATGACTTATCCTGAACGTTGTTGACCTTCCCTACCACCGATGCCATGAAATTTCTTGTCGCTGCATCTATTTATACTTGCTTCTTATGTTCATTTCAGCTCTCAAATCACCACCCTCAGAAATACTATTGTATCGTGTGTAACCTATCCTCAAGAGATTAGAAATATGGAGAGTGAAAAACATATCATTTGTAGACATCCACCAACTTATGGCAACCTCATAACAGTTCTCTCGATTGATGGTGGAGGGATTCGAGGAATCATTCCAGCTGTTGTTCTTACCTTTCTAGAATCAGAGTTGCAGGTAAATATTTATGTTATACTATGAGTTCCATTTCGTGGCCAAGGCAACTCTAACTTGTCGAGAGATAAGTTCCAAGGACAAGGGAAAACTGGTGCTCTAGGGTTAGGAAACGGCATTTGTTTGGTTTGCTTGTTTTAAATTTAAACCATTTAGATTCAAACTTAATTCAGTAACCATATCTTTCTATAAATTAAGACATCCTTTCGTTTCGAAGTAGATCTTAATTCTTAAAAACCTTTTGCATTAGTGCCAGAATGAGATTTACTGATCTTTTCTGCCATATGTTCTGTCTTTAGCCATTTCTTTTATGCAGATGTAATTGTTCAACAGTTGCTCAGGTTTTTCAGCATTTCTTTCTGCATCGAATATTCCGAATTCATTTTTGATACGGCTGGAACAGCCATAACAATTATTCTGCTAATTGAGAAAATCTGATTGTTATGTCCCATCTATAGATGGTGAATTGAATGTTGTGGTACCACCAAAAATAAACTTGGCATGCTAAATTAAATTTCCCTTTTCATTTCAATCTCTGTTTGATCTACATGCTGACTCTCTCTCTGTAGTAGCATAACCGTGTGTGTGTGCACGAAATGAACTGTTCAGATTATACACAGTTCATGTTCTTGACTGCTTCTCATGAAATCTTTTCTGTTTAATTTCTCAAGAAACTTGATGGAGAGGAAGCCCGAATAGCCGACTATTTTGATGTCATTGCTGGGACTAGCACAGGGGGGTTAGTGACTGCGATGCTGGCTGCACCAAACAAGAAAAGAAGACCACTTTTTGCAGCCAAGGATATTAAAGCATTTTATATGAACCATGCTCCAAAAATTTTTCCACAGCTAAGGTGAATACATGTACTGCAGTTTTTTTTTCTGATATGATTCATAACTTGGCTGGTTGACATTTTGCTTCTCTCTTTAGGGGTCCATTCGGTAGGATGATGAGGATATTTCGATCAATGTCAGGACCTTCCTATGATGGCAAGCACCTTCATGAAGTTGTAAGAGAGAAATTAGGAAGCACCAGGCTGCATCAGACTTTAACAAATGTGGTCATACCAACTTTCGACATCAAGTGGTTACAACCAACCATTTTCTCTTCCTACGAGGTATCCCTCTTTCCCTTCATCCTTCTCCCTTTAAAGTCTCTCAAGAGTATTTTGTGTGTTGTTTTGGACACAAGTGTCTACAATTCGTAATAAAATTCAATCAATTCAATTTTAAGGGCACAAGAACATGTATTATACACAAGTACTTATTTCTCTATTTTGCTATGAAAATAATTCATAGGAATTATTTATGAGCCAGTAATAAGAACTCCCATCAATACAACAATGATGGAGACTACACAACATGAACCTTATGCTCTCATATCATAGGTTAAGAAGAAGAACAACAACACTATGGATGCTCTGCTATCAGATATTTGCATCAGCACGAGCGCTGCTCCGACTTACCTGCCTGCGCACTTCTTCAGGACTGAAGATTGTCATGGAAACATCAAGGAATTCAATCTTATTGATGGTGGAGTAGCTGCCAATAATCCGGTACGATGTCTCTGTAGTTGTGAACAACTCATTACCATTGAAGTGCACTCTGTGATGTTGAAAATGGTTTGGCAAGTTTACCCAGTTCATATATTGAAGCGATGTTTTTTCCCCAAAAGGCCCTGAATATGTCTATCTTGTTTAGGCTTTAGTTGCCATTGGAGAAGTAAGCAAGCAGATATTCAAGAAAAATCCAGATTTCTTCCCAGTAAAACCAATGGACTACGGCCGTTTTTTGGTCATTTCACTTGGCACGGGCTCCCCAAAAATTGAAGGGAAATACAATGCACAAAAAGCTAAATCATGGGGAGTTCTGGATTGGTTGCTTGTTGGTGGGTCCACTCCCTTGGTAGATATTTTCACACAAGCAAGTGCTGATATGGTGGATATCCACATCGCTGCTGTTTTCAAAGTTTTACATTCTGAGCAGAACTATCTGAGGATTCAGGTAAGAAAGAGATAGACAGTTTATTTTTTTTTATCAAGTAATAGCCAACAAACATGATTCCTAATATAAAAAAAATGCCACTTTGGAATAACAGGATGATACTCTCGAAGGGACACTCGCATCTGTTGATGTTGCTACTAGGGATAATCTGGAGAAACTTGCTAATGTTGGAGAAATACTGCTAAACAAACCTGTCTCACGGGCAAATTTGGAGACTGGCCAGATGATGCCTGCTTGTGATGACTCAGAAATTACCAACGGGGAAGCTCTCAAGAGGTGAACATGTCACCACTTATCAGCCTATTTATGATAATAGTATCTCTCGTTTTATAAATCCATCTATACTTAGTACCCCTGCTATTTGCAGATTTGCGAGGTTGCTGTCTGACGAAAAGCGAATTCGTGAAGCAAGATCACCGAAATGAAGAAATTCCTCTCTTTTTTATTCGTGCCAAATAGGAATCTTCTCTGGATGACCTCCATATTTGATAGAGCAAAATCTGGATCATTTAATTTAGAACTTAGTTGATTTATTCATTGACTTGGAAATTTCACTGTAACATAGTAAATAAATGTATAGGTGGCATACTGATTGGCCACACCTGTAGAATGTCAGGCCCTGAGTCCCTGATGTCCTGCTAGTTTTGTTCGTATGTAAAAAAAATAATACAAATATTCATTTCTAATAAAATTGAGCATTGGACTGCCTTTTCTGTTGTGTTGTCAACTTCAGCCATTTTATTTTAGCCAAATGAGTGCTGAAGGATTGCAGGTCGGCCATGCAGCGAGACAATCGGAATAAAGACGTAGCACGCTGCTGCATGGAACAAGTACCAGATACGATTTCTCTACACTTTGTACGTAGAAATAGATAACCTATCTCTTCTTTCAATAACAAGATGAGCTTCCTTTTCAGAACGGATCGTTTTGCCCCTTTGGTACTTCCGATGGCCATGGGCGGGAAGACGTCCAATTCCCATTGGATTTGGAGCGTGTACAGACTAGACAAATGTATGCAAGGGGCTTCTCTGCTTCGCTAACTCAAAGTTGCCCATATTTATTAATGACATAACTTTCTGAATGGGCTGCCCAAGAACCTCATCTGTGAGTACCTTCTAGCTTTTATCTTGCACTTGATGTTCCAGTTCACTACCTAGTTGCCAACTTAGTAACTTGCTGGTAAAAAAATTGTTTAACACCGAGGTGGACCAATTTCTGTGATAATGGTCTTAACTATATGCCAAGTTGTATTTGTTTAACTTTCCAGCAAACCAATAGCACAACTCAGGCTCAATGAGGGGGTGTTGGAAGCTATTATTTTGATGGATACAACAGTGCGTAGGCATTCTAAAACTGACCTAACCTAACCATGTGCTCCCCAAAACAAGCAAACCTGGAGCACCGAAAGATCTGACCAGCGATCAATCTCACACTTGCGAGGTAAGGAATGCAAATTGTGCATGAACACATAAATATAAATATACATGTAGCTAGTAAAGCTGAGACAATTGGCATTTTGGAATCCTAGAGCTTCCCTTTAGCTGGGTGGTAGCAAAATTTGTGTCAATTAAGTACAATGCTTGGACTTCAGCCAGCCAGACATGGGGGTCATTGTTAGTGCAATAATGCTATATATTTGATCGACTATAGTTTTGGAGAAAGAAACACATTTGACAAGTATTTCTTGCCATATAGTATGCCAAAATCCTGAACTTTATTGTTCTTGTTAGTGGCCTGCACCTGTTGTGTCTCCTACACCGTTGATCCAGCACAACTTTACAGAGCCGTCGGCCCGTCGCACACATGAAAAGTATTTCTCCTGTCAGGTCATAGGCCGTGCAGTTAATAATTAAAAGGCAATTTCCTAGGTCCTGGGAGCCGACTAATGTGCTTGGCCGGTCAAAAGACTAAAGAGGGCTATTCGATCGACGGAGCAGAATGCAAGTTAGACGCCAATGCAACGAGCGCCTCCTATGCATGGTGCCATGGTCCAAGCAAAGAAGATTCCCAGATTGTGCCATGCAAATGCTGCTGACCTTTTCTGAATATCATGCAACATAGCGTGTCTGGGCTTCTGGCACTCCATGAATGTAAGTGAATTACATGAGTTTACATGCACTACATCTCTGTAAAACTTTATGATAGTTAACTTTCTAGGTTGAATTTGGTGAACATACCATTCAGCTTTTTGTTAGAATATACCACACATGCAGAGGAATATATCGTTTCTGACTACAGCACTGGCATGCGAAAATTTTTGAATTTGTGAAAATGACATCCATGGCTTCGTGTAATTCTTCATGGGTGTTTGTGTTAGTTTCTTGGCGCATCTCTCTATTTTGACCCCTTTTTCCCTGTTCCTCGTACTGACAGCTTTGCTGCTTTAGCATACCACAGCATCGCAAATTGCACTTTCTTCTCCCTATAAATTGTCGTAGTGGCATGCATCCAAATCGAATCTAAGCCAAGAAACTCAATAGAGAAGAGCAGTCGCAATAGCAAGCTAGGAGAAGCACCAGGAGCTTGTGTCTTTGGCCACCTGAACAGCACAAGTCCTCCATACATTTGTCAACCTGCCTAGTACATGGCAGGTCTCAAGCTCTCATCATGCGTTCTGGTCGCATTGCTCTTCGTGTCGAGCCACGTTGTGCGCCACGGCGAGGCGAGGCGGCTGACCGCGGGGGTGGCGGCGCCGGCGAGCAAGGGCGGCGAGGAGGAGGCGCCGCAGTACGCATCCGCTCGAGGCGGCCAGCCGGCGGCTGCTGCCGGTGGCGGCGTGACGGCGGCGTCGAAGATGGCGAGCACCGACGGCCGCCCAACCTCTCCCGGCCACAGCCCGGGGATCGGCAACAAGGCCACCGGCAACGTCCGTTGAGATCGATGGACGATCACAGTACAGTACTACACAGTTTCTTCTTGGTTGGATTGCTTGGCAATTGGCATGCACATATAGGCATCTGCCAATGTCAGTTCGTGCGTGCTGCTGCATGCATGCACACTGTAATTTGTTTCTCCTTTTGTTATTGGCATGCACATATAGGCGTCCGTCAGTTTGTCCGTGCTGTAATTTATTTCTCAGTTCGTTATGTAATGTACATTGGTGAACGCGTGTTGTAATATTTTACTTTATCTCAAATAACAAAGTTGCCGAGATTGCACACTTTTACATTTTTCTGTCAATGTTCTGTAGGGAATCACTAAACCTGTAATGTTAAATGCCTAAACTCTCAGCTTGTACTTGACACTTAGCTTGTACTTGCAGGAATTCAAACTTAAGTATGACTCTTACTGCCTCTTTTCTAAAATATTTGTCGTTCTACATTCTTTAGCATGTATTAAGGTTAAAAGAAAAAAATTGTACTATATCTTATTAAATAATGTATAGTTAGATGTGTGATGGTGGTGGGGGGGGGGGGTAAAAATGAGGAGAACTTTGAATTAGAAGTGGTTGATGTGACAGGTAATATTTCAAAGTGGCAACTATTTTTTAAACAACTTTTAAATGCTAAAAAGACAAGTATTGTGGAATGGGAAAAATATATCATACTGGACATTAACGTGTATTTCAACGAATTCACTGGAGATCGGTTGGAATCTACAATAGCACTTACCTCTGTTCTAAAATATAAATTTATATTTTAGCTATGCACTTGGAAGGATGAAGGGAGTAGTAGCTCCGGGTAAAAGTATGTCCCTCAAAAATCATTCCCTCATTTTTCATACATGTATTGGCCGAATTACTCTCACTGAAGCAAAACAGAGATGACATGCGAATCACGCTATCTGACGAGTCTCCTTTTAAAGACTTGGCGCAGCAATTATTTTCTAAAAAATCCTTCCTGTGGTTGAGATAAAATCAGTAACTTTTAACTTGTGCTTTGCGCTAATAAAACGGTTTAAATTAAGCAGCTGTGTGTTTGCTAGTATACTGCCATAGCCTATGATGCCCTACAGTGCTATGAGTAGTAATATCTGGATATCTTGGCTACGGTATGTTGAAAAGGACGTGCATGTGAGATTATGTACCATCACGAAGATTCATGAACAGTTAACCAGATTATGCAGTCAATATGTAATGTTGAAAAGGACGTGCATGTGAGATCCTGATATGTACCATCACGAAGATTCATGAACAGTTAACCAGATTATGCAGTCAATAAGTACTACGAACGAGTGGATATATATGTACAGGAGTATTCTCTTTTCCTGGCCGTCTCTGACCTTCCTGCGTGCCATCGCAACTTTCACTGGCCACGGTTGTTTGCCTGCTCTTTCCCTCCATTGGCCGGTCAAACCGTACAAAATGTTAATTAACCAACTTGTTTGCTAATGCTCTCTGAGCCGTTTATATCGTCCACTGTGGCAAACTTTGTGTGTATAATATTAGCACGACTGGATGCAGCCAGCCATTGTAATATACCACAGCCAACAATGCGCATGCAGGAAGAGATTTCTGAAGTTGGAAAAGATACGGTGCAAAAAGTGTCTAGGGATTTTCTACTTGAAGAAATAGAGTTTGATAGTTGCACAAAGAGCCAGCCATTCGTGCTTTCAGACAGCCTGGCTCGTTTTCATTGTTAGATTGTTGGGGGTATGTCTGTTAGCGCTAGTGTAGACTGTAGAGGTAAGTGTCTTGTATATCCCACCTCTTAATTGGTGACTTACCGACATGGCAACATGGCGACATGGATAAAATTATGAGATAACAATTACTTATATCGCTTGTTAAACTTGCTCTTACCTCTTACCATAAATAAATATGAGTACTACAGATTTGGACGGGGACACATGAGGGAAAACATTCCATGTAGTAGAGGGCTTCAGCAGGGGGAGCCACTATCACCATTTCTTTTCATCCTAACAATCGACCCCTTGCAAAGAATGCTACATCTAGCAACCGAGGAAGGGCATCCAATTACCCTAGGTAATCCAAGTGCAAGATTCAGAATATCCTTGTATGCAGACGATGCAACAGTTTTCCTTAATCCTTCGAGAGACGAAGTGGACAACTTATTGAAAATTGTCGGTGATATGGGCCCGAGGGTATCAGGTTTAGAGGGAGGAGTCTGCCCCCCGATGCCACGTGACCCTCCCCTGAGGGGAGTCAGGCCCGAGGTGGGGTGGTGGCCACTCCTGCCCCAAAGACTAGTCGGAGGAGGCTGCCCCCCGATGCCACGTGGCCCTCCCCCGAGGGGAGTCAGGCCCGAGGTAGGGCGGCGGCCACTCATTCCCAGAGACTGGATGGAGGAGGCTGCCCTCCAATGCCACGTGGCCCTCTCCCGAGGGGGGTCGGGCCCAAGGTAGGGCGGCGGCCACTCCCTGGCCGAGACTAGAGGGAGAAGGCCGCCCCAGGCGCCACGTGGCTCCCCCCCCGAGAGGGGATCGGGCCCGAGGTCGGGTGGCGGCCGCCCCCTCCCGTGACTAGGGGTCGGGCTCCCCCGACCCCCTCTCTAGGTCACCACGTACGGTGGGTTAGGTGTCCGCCTCCAGGTGCCCACCTACCCGTATTTATGGCGACCCGAGCGGTCGCACCACGCCGCATTTAATGCGGTGTGCAGTGCACTCAACCGGTCTGTGACCGGTCGAATGACTGATGGGACCCAGGATGTCAGGCGCACCATCGCGTGTGTCAGGCGATGTGCAGCCCGACATATCCCATCAAATAATGATGGTGAGAGGTTCTCATCCTCTTATCCCAGCCGGAGTCGGTCCTCCCGCTCTGGTCAAAGCAAGGCACCCGTTTCCCGGTGTAATAGGACCCAGAAGTCTTCACCCATTAAATGGTGACTGACAGGGGCACCCCCTGTGTCAGGCAGCAAGATTTGACAGGCCCCATCATCAAGACGACGTGCGCTTGGCCTCCCAAGTCAAGAGACAAGACATGCATTTAATGCAAAGATTATAATACTTCTCCACTGGAGCTAGGTTAGATTGTTGGGCCCATGTGGTATCCCCTTAGAGTATAAAAGGAGGACCATGCCTAGCGAGGAGGGGGGATCGGACTTAGGATCCCTGAGCCAAAGCTTGTCCAACCCTAGCTTGTATATCGGGGATTCAGGGACTTTCTAAGCATAGAAGAATCATCATACACACAGGAGTAGGGTATTACGCTTCATAGCGGCCCGAACCTGTATAAGCCTCTTTTGTCTCATCGTCTTGGAGGGGCCTAACCCCCTCAAGATCACATAGCTTCGCTCACCGAGCCCTCGAATCTCACCCGCTGCCCCCGGCCGAACTCACAAAGGGGCGCCTCATGGTTCCCTAGTGGAGGAGTTCATTCTCCGACATCTGGCGCGCCAGGTAGGGGGCGCGTTCGTGATTTTTGAGGTTCTTTCGAGCGCTGGCGTGATAAGCGCCGCGCCGCCGATGCGGTGTAAGGCACAGCCTCCTCAGGAGTGTCGCGCGACCCCAGGCAGGGGGCTAGGCCCCCGACATCCCCACCGGGTAAGGCTAGCGGCCAGTTCTTTGTGGCGAGTCTTCGGAATGTCCGATGGCCCTCAAAGTTTAGGCCTAGCCTCACCGAGAAGTACGACGACAGCGTCAAAACTCCGAGTCCCTCCAGATCCACACGACGATCATAGAGGAGACGGGGGGTGACGACCGGGTCATGGCGAACTTCTTCCCCATGGCCCTCAGGGGCCAAGCGCGGGGTTGGCTCATGAACCTGCTGCCCGCCTCGGTCCACTCCTGGGAGGACCCCTGCAGTTGAGCTCCGGTTGCCGTCGAAGCCCAGGATCCCCTGTGCTGGCTCTTCCGTAGCGGCTAGCTTTGGTCCCGCCGGCTGGCTACGGTGCCCGGCCCGGCTCAACTAATCGTCCTCTCATGTTTTCAGTATTTTCAAATTTTCAACTCATCAACCTAGTACAGCTTGAAATCTTATATTTATTTCCCCCCATTATATTCTCATGGCCCTGCGACGCCCGCGTGTTGCGTATTTGTTTGCTCCCTCGGTGGTAAGAGCCCAACCTCTCTCCCATCTACATGAACGATTCTTCGCTAAGTGTGGGGGCTAAGTTTTCTAGCCTTATCCTAGCCTTAAGTTGAGCCCCGGGTGCCGTCGACGCCCGGGACCCCCTGTGCTGGCTCTTCCGTAGCGGCTTGCTTTGGTCCCGCTGGCTGGCTACGGTACCCGGCCTGGCTCAACTGTGGACGGGGATTGCTGGCTCTAGAGTTTTCGGTTCTCACACTCGTGCGAAAGTAATCATCCATGTAGAAGGAAAAGAGATTGGAAGGAGGCCACCGAAAGGAAAGAGCAAACATAATGTGTAGCGTGAGGGCGCAGGCTCGTGGGAACCTGATCTCATTTGCTAAGTGGTCACAGGCTTCCCAAGATGGTTTGGAACCCATGGTGGGGGGGGGGGGGCTCTTCGAGCTAAAGGTTTGAAAGGTCGCGACATGCAAGCAATGTTTGTGTTTGCTTCATTCATACAAGCAATTCTTTGCTATAAGTGTGGGGGCTACGATTCCTAGCTCTATCCTAGCCCTGCGTCGAGCTCTGGGTACCGTCGACGCCCGGGGCCCCCTGTGCTAGCTCTTCCGTAACGGCTGGCTTTGGCCCCGTCGGCTAGTTACGACGCTCAGCTTCGCTTGATCGCAGGCGAAGATCTGACAAGCCCCATCATCAAGACGACGTGCGCTTGGCTTCCTAAGTCAAGAGACAAGACATGCATTTAATGCAAAGATTATAATACTTCTCCACCGAAGCTATGTTAGGTTGTTGGGCCCATGTAGTATCCCCTTAGAGTATAAAAGGAGGACTATGCCTAGCGAGGAGGGGGGATCGGACTTAGGATCCCTGAGCCAAAGCTTGTCCAACCCTAGCTTGTATATCGGGGATTTAGGGACTTTCTAAGCACAGAAGAATCATCATACACACAGGAGTAGGGTATTACGCTTCATAGCGGCCCGAACCTGTATAAGCCTCTTTTGTCTCATCGTCTTGGAGGGGCCTAACCCCCTCAAGATCACATAGCTTCGCTCACCGAGCCCTCGAATCTCACCCGCTGCCCCTGACCGAACTCACAAAGGGAGGCCTCACGATTCCCTGGTGGAGGAGTTCATTCTCTGACAAAAATACTCTAGAATTTTGTCAAAGCAACAGTATTACATGTTAACCTGTCCAAAAGCTCAGTAACACCAATCAACTCCCAAGATATTGATGTGGTT